TTGCAAATGTTTCATTACCCAGCTAGGTAACATCATCAGTGCTAGAAGGGAAGTAGTTTGCAGAGAGGAGGAGGAGGAGGAGGAGGAGGAAGTCAGATTCACTTAATTTCCGGGTGACTAATTTAACCACATGCAGTGACTCGCTTTAACGACCGTGCAAAAAATATGGATGCAAATTGCGGGGGGTCGGATGTTGGAGAAAGTGGGAGTCACAGGACTTCCTCTGATTCGTTTTCAGTCCATTTTTATTTGCAATAACCCCCTGGGACCTTCTCTGCTCTCCCCCACCCACCCACCCCGCTCCAGGCTTTGGTAACCATGACTCCAAATCAGCGGCAAGAAGTCATAAGGACGTCCCAGCTGGTGCTGAGCGACAGCGAAGAAAGGATCAAGCCGTACACGCTGGAAGAATTCTCCTACGATTATTTTAGGTAAAGCCGTCCAAATTGAGCTGGATATCAGGAGGGAAGAACTTGGTGAGTTCACCACACCGAAGAGCTGATCATTACTATCTGTGCCAGCGGTCCTCGACTTACGACCACACTTTGAGCTCAAACTAAATAACACGTTTAACCCCACCTTCCAGTTCAGCCTCCTCGTCTCCTATGTTGAACACCCTGGTCAGTTTTCATCTGGCGTCTTCTTTTTGTGACGAGTTAGCCGTGTACCTGTGTTTCGCTTACGAAACTATGTGGTCGGGCTTAGTTTTGGGGGGAGGAAAATAAGAGGGGAAAATTCTGCCCCTGCCTGCCAGCATCCATCGATATTCATCCGGCTAGCGTCCTGTCAGTGTGTGAGAGAGTGGAGGGCTGTTTGGAAACTGAAACAGTTTTTGCTGTGCGAGCGAGAAGGAGACAGCAAGGAGCCTGGGCGTGGCTTAGCTTAATTTTTTCTGTCCTAAAGCTGCTTGGTGCTGAGAAACTGATACTGAAACTCCTCTGCTTGTGTTTTGCATTAGGAGCAGATTTGAATTTCTCCTAATTCAGTTTCCATCCGTTGTTCCTCGTCTGGCTTTCTGGTGCCTTGGAGAATAGCTTGACCCTCCTTTCCTCCTCTCTGGGGCAGCCCCTCAAATATTGGAAGATGCTCTCCTGTCTCCCCTGGTCCTTCTCTTCCCTAGACTAGCCAAGCCCAGTTCCTGCAACCGTTCTTCATATCTTTTAGCCTCCAGTCCCCTAATTATCCTGGTTGCTCTTCTCTGCACTTTTTCTAGAGTCTCAACAGCCTTTTTTGATAGTGACCCAAACTGGATGCAGGTGCGGTCTTACTAAGGCTTTATAGAGTGGTATTAGGACCTCCCTTGATTGACAGCCCGTTTTCTTTGCCAGGCCTCCTCCCAAACACACCCTGAGCAGGGTGATGATCACCAAAAACCGAGGGAAAGACAAGTTGTGGTCCTACACCAGGGAGCCTATCAAACAGCCCCTGCTGAAGAAGGTCCTAAGCAGTGAGGAGCTATCTCAAGAAGCTTGCATGGCTTTTATCGATATCCTTCTGAATTCGGAGTCATTTCCCCCACATGTGAAACATCCTATGGAGTCTGATGCTGGTTTCCTTGGAACATAAGTGGTGGCCATCTCGTTGGGAGCCCAGGTCCATTTAGTCCAGAACTTGTTCTCTCGGTGGGCCACCAAACTGCCCTAGGAAGCCCTCTCATCTCCCAGTAGATGGCCTTCAGAGCCAGCCTTGTTACGGTCAAAGCCAGGGTTCTCCAGGACTTCCATGGATTTGGTTTTAGACGTTTTGGGAAGCCAGCCAGGTGGGGCGTCAGCACCAGATCTTGAGGTAAGAGCTCACCTGGACTTCGGTTCACTTCCCTTTTACCTCCTGGGTCTCATTTAGATTAGCTTCTCGTTGAATGGACGAGATTTCTCCAACTCTTCGGTTCACTATGGGCTTGTCATGCAAAGGTTGTCCTATCTCTAGAGGGAGGGAGGGAAGGAGGGAGGGAGGGAAAGGAAAGGAAAGGAAAGGAAAGGGAAGGAAGGAAGGAAGGAAGGAAGGAAGGAAGGAAGGAAGGAAGGAAAGAAAGAAAGAAAGAAAAGAAGGAAGGAAGGAAATGACAGAATGACAGAGTGGGAAAGGGAGAGGAGAAGGAAGGAAGGAAGGAAGGAAGGAAGGAAGGAAGGAAGGAAGGAAGGAAGGAAGGAAATGACAGGGTGGGAGAGAGGGAGAGGAGAAGGAAGGAAAGAAAGAAGGAAGGAAAGAGAAAGAAAGAAAGAAAGAAAGAAAGAAAGAAAGAAAGAAAGAAGGAAAGAAGGAAATGACAGAATGACAGGGTGGGAGAGCGAGAGAGGGGAAGGAAGGAAGGAACGAAGGAAGGAAGGAACGAAGGAAGGAAGGAAATGACAGAATGACAGGGAGGGAGGAAGGGAAGGGAAGGGAAGGAAGGAAGGAAGGAAGGAAGGAAGGAAGGAAGGAAGGAAGGAAGGAAGGAAGGAAGGAAGGAAGGAAGGAAGGAAATGACCAAGTGGGAGGGAGGGATCCTCACCTTTAATTATATCCTTAACCGGGACACCCATCCTGAAGTACATGGGCGATTACCCCTCCAAAAGGACCCGCTCAGTGAATGAGCTAACAGATCAAATCTTTGAAGGGGCCTTGAAGGCTGAAGCTCTCCGAGACGAGATTTACTCGCAGGTCCTGAAGCAGCTGACCGACAACCACGTGAAGTAAGTGGGGTTTTTTTGCCTCTCTCTCTCTCTCTCTCTGCTGGGCTGCCTTGCTCTGATGGTGCCAACGCTTTCTCTATGAGAAGCGCAACTGCCAGAATCGCACCACGGGGATGACGCTACAACGGTCGTACGCACACAAAAAAACCCCGCTCGTCGGTTGCTTTTTTTTTCAGTGCCATTGAGAACTACCTGTATACTGAGATATCGCTAGATGCCTAGCTTGCTTTGAAGGAGTCTCTTTCTCTTTGTCCAGGATATTATAGTCTGCTTTGTATTCCTTGCGGAAAAGGTACAGCGAAGAAAAAGGCTGGGAACTGCTCTGGCTGTGCACGGGACTCTTTGCGCCTAGTAACGTCCTGCTCCTTCATGTCCAGAGGTTCGTCCAGTCGCGGAAGCATCACCCGCTGGCCAACGACTGCCTGCAGAGGCTGCAGAAGGCTCTGAGGTTCGTGCCCTGTGGCCGAAAACAACCCCCACATTTGGGGAAGGAGGAATTGGGGGAAGCCCAGAGATACCGGTATAGTAACAACTGGTTCGGTCAGGGGTTGCCAACCTTTTGGACCTCAGGGACCACCAAATTCATAATTTTAAATCCCACGGACCAGAGACCCTGGGAGAATCCCCCCCACCCCCCAAAAAAAAATCTGCAGGAAAATCCCCCACCCCGTGTTCCTACCAATAGATCGTTCTTTATTTGGGATCGCAGGATACCGTCTCCAGCTCCGTTGTCAGGGAGAAAGAGAGAGAAAGGGAGAGACTTTTGACTTCATGCAAGGAAAGCAGCAGGAGCCGCAGAAGTCTTTCTTTCTCTCCCCCAAACTCTGCCAAGAAAGGAGTCTTTGCACAGCCTCTCGGAGCAGGAGGCCTTGCAGGGTCCCAAAGACTCATTTCTGAGTTTAGGGAAGAGAAAAGAAGACTTCTGCTACTTTCCTTGCGTGCAGCCAGAAGCAGAAGAAGAAAGAAGCGAAAAGAAGCAGCCCGGTGGCCAGGCCAGGCGCGTGGGGCAAGTGGGGCAAATTCCCCCCCTCCGCCCTTTCCCCCCTCCCCTCACTACTTCGTGTTGTTCGCAACACAGGCGACACAAGCCTTGCCTTCCCGTGCAGCTTGGATTTAATTCCTTTGCGAGGGGGAGACATTTCTCTGCGGACCACCAAAATTTTCTCGCAGAACACCAGTGGTTCCCCGGCCCGCTGGTTGGCGACCACTGGGTTCGGTGATCGCGTGCTTCGCGTGAACAGCAGTGCCAAAGTCCTTACCTGCTGTGTTACTTCAGGGGAGGGAGTAACACAGCTGAGGAGCAGCAATCCAATCTTCGGCGCTGATCAGCTGGGACGATAAAGGTCAGTACAGCGCAGGGTCAGGCAGGGAGGCCCCACGTGACTGTCAGAGTAAACTGGTTCACTCCCAGCTGATCTTCGGAGCTAGCGGTTTGCCCGAACCGATCCGAACCGGCAGAATCCCACCCCTGGGAAAGCCGCTATCCGGATGAGAATGGGAGAACCAATCCACGGAGTCAAGTAGTAGTGAGAGAAAGTTAGGTCAAGAGGCTGGGCTGGGCAGTGGGTGATGGTGAATTCTAGTTCCAGCTTAGGCTGGGTGACTTTGTACCAATCACCAGGAGACTGTCTAGTTTCACCTCAGGCATAAAACCAGCTGGGTGACTTTGGGGCAATCACTAGGAGACAGTGAATTCTAGTTCCACTTTAGGTACGAAAGCTGGTTGGGTATCTTTGGATCAATCACCAGGACCTGGTGAATTCTAGTTCCACCTTAGGCTTGAAAGCCAGCTGGCTGAGTTTGGCCCAGTGACCAGGTGACTGTGAATTCTAGCTCTGCCTTAGGCACAAAGGTCAGCTGAGTAACTTTGGGCCAATCGCCTGGAGACAGTGAATTCTAGTTCCACTTTAGGCACGAAAGCTGGTTGGGT